GACTAGGCTATACGATTTAATTATCGATCGATATTAAAAAAAGAACAAACCTATATATCACGAATATATTCAGAACAATCTTACAATTATTATTCGTATAATTTTGAAAAAAACGTCTCGAAACGGCAACCTCACGGTCCAAGAAACGACACCACTTAATCGATATCTCGATCGATCAAAATCTCCACGAGTCGCGAACACGCGAACAAATGAATTTCCGCAAACTTCGCAAAGTCATTCTACGACTCGCTCGCAAGCGCTCGATTTCCCTCAATTACCATAATCCTTGATCCGTAAATAACCCTTGCTCGTGGAAACTTCTCACCTGTGCATGGCGTGCACCGACACGTGTTCACTTTTAATTGTCCTTAAATCGCCACCGATCCCTTCTTAAGGAAAGTGTCCCTTCCTCGTGTCGTCGTGACTTCCGTTTCGAAGCGTGGGGTCTCGCTTTCTTCCTCGAACGGGCGCGGTTTTGCGGCGAGCAGGCCTCGACGACCGGCCGACACATGTGGAAAACCGCACATCCTTCCTATCCACCATCTGCCTCCCGCTTCGTCTCCCTCTTCCGCCTCTTCCGTCCTCTCCCCTCCTTCTTTTTCGCCCATCGACGGATCACATTGTTGCGTAACGAGTCCACTCTGTTCGCTCGTGCTCGATTCATCTCACTTGTATTTCGTCTCGAGAAGTTGTTACGTGTTGTTATGGTTTAAAAAGAAGAAGAAATATTCTAGATATTTTTATCTCGTATGTAATACGCGTATGGAATAATGATTAACGAATTGAATTGCATATACGTGTGAATTATGAAGAGCGTGTAAAAATTTGAATAATATTATTTGCATGATTAGTTAGAATGACATTGTATCTTTTCCTCGTATCCTCGTTTCCGCGATTTTATTTGAAATTTGTTTTTCAAAAAATGGGGGAGGGGGGAGTGGAGATTTTTGGTTCATTCATTGTTTGAACAAAGAGAAGAAATTATGACGAGTGAAACGTAATTAATTGTAACAAAGGATGTCGCGAACGAACGTATATCCGGAAAATCGTACACGATAGGATAAGTGATTAAATCTGCCCGAATATATATATATATATTATTGGGTAGCCGATATCGAGGATAACGATAACAGGAAATGGAGGAAGGAATCGGAAAGAAAAATAAGGATAATTGAGGAGGAACGATTGGGTGCTTGAAACGAGTAAAATCGATCGGTGACCGCATCGATTCTCCCTTACCGATTAAGTGGCTTTCCCCACTTGTACCAACGGAATATTTAATAATACCTTTTAACCCTTTGTGACTCGTGAAGAATTCCTCGAACGAAGGGAAAGGTATACTCTGTTATATTTCCTCGGTCTCGAACGCTTGACATCGATTCGAAAAACAAAGTGGCTTTTTATTCTCTGCTTGAACTTCGTTTGCAAGTAAAAAGAATCCTATGGGAAACGATATGCTATCCGGATATTGGTTTAATTTTTTTTTTTTTTTTTTCCTTTCCTTTTCTTTTTTTCTTTAAACGG